TCTGACTAAAAATACCTAACAGTATCTGCAAGAATTTAAACAAAGGGAAAAAATAGGACTTTCAGACAAACAGACATACATTTTCAACTATTCATTTCAACCTCTTTATCCAGAATTACGACTGACAGTGTGTGTGTGTGTCAACTTCTAAGTGTGTAAGGATGCGGATGACTGAGGGGGACACCGGCTTAACTTCATCCGCCCATTAACCAGCGGGAGAGCGGTGCATGAAACAAGCTAGCAGCCGAAGCCTCTGGAATAAAACTGCTCGTGTGGCGAAAACGTTTTCTGGCCAGCACAAAACAACGGCAAATAGTGCACACAACAAATTGCGTGAAACAATATTAACTGCAATATTACTCTAGTATTATACTAAGCACACTAACTTAAAAAAGCGGCGAAAACAACTATATGGCTGACTAGTATAGTCATACAACTTTACTTTGTTAGGTTATTTCTTAGTTAGATAGATATTCAGAGATTTGTTGTCTAGAAATGTTTAGTGGAGACAGGATGTCTAGCTCAAATGTTAACATGCGAATGGTCAGTGTGATGATTCGCTATGGCGACCCCTAACAACAAAAGCAGAAAGTGCCAATCATTCATATATAGCCTATCATCCATCCTCCCTATGGCATTTGCTACTTGATTGACATGCAGGGCAGCCAGTCTGAGATCTCGTCTTTTCTGACACACGAGTCACATGCACAGTCAACAGCACAGTATACGGCAAAACTCCAGTGAGCGAACTAACTTGTCAGCCTTTGAATTAATGTCTACTAAAGGGTATAAAATGAGTGGGGGAGCCGAATCAAGTAAGAAACCGAAAACGTACCGAAAACATTCCATGTGGAATGGGAGGACTTTTTTTTCGCGACATTATATTCGAAATGCGTTTGCTTGATCTACCAATCTACTATTCCGAAGGGAAATGTGGAGCGGCACTTTCAGACTGTTTATAAAAACTACGACACTCATTCATACATTTATTTTGTGTGTGTGTGTGCGCGCGCGCGCGCGCGCAGTACCATTATTTTGACTTCTCATTTGAAAAGTAGCTCGCAAGGCGAAAAAGTGTGGGCACCCCTGCTCTAGAGTAACTATATGGCTGACTAGTATAGTCATACAACTTTACTTACTAGTTTCTTTTCAGTACCTGTTTAATAAAAAGATGCTCAACATCACATTAGAACTGTAATTCATATCTGCTACGATTTTATTCACAAATGGCCAAAATCGTTCCTTTCAAATTTTCATTAAAAACTTTAAAAGGTGGAACTGAACCTCTAAGCCACTGTAGCACCCGGACAACTGACAGCGCGCAGGAATAAGTTTGTGCAAGTGTTCCTGTTTTGATAACTGGCTTTGAAAGTGAAGTGTGGAGGAGCGTGTGAACACTTCGTAGCCCATCAGCAACAAACTGACGTTAGCGGAGCAGCGAACGTAGGAAGAGACGAGCAGTTCACACTGCAGCACTTCGGTCAAACTGGTGAGACAAAGAAAGGAGGTGGTTTCTACAGACTTGTGTCTGTTTTGGATCACGTTGGCTTTCTCTGCTAGTAACAGACGCTGTTCTCAGATCGTTTACTTGAGTAAATTAGGAGTGCCACAGTGTAAAATCCTCTACAAGTCCTGTATTCAAACTGTTAATTAAGTAAAAGCTCAAATGTATTTGCATCCAAATATAACCTAAAGTACCAAAAGTAAAAGTACTCATTATGCAGATTGGCTCATTTCTATGACTGGGTTATAATTATTGATGCGCTATTGTGTTCATCATATTTAATGCTGCAGCTATCAGTTGTTTGTCAGACAGTAAACTAGAGTAAGAGCCAACATATAGTCCCCATCATTTGTATTGAATGGAGTTGTTTTTGAATAGGAAATGAGTGCAAGTGGAATCATGAAACAGTAACACTCGGGAGACAGGAATCAGCTAAGTAAATTTATTATCTTCTGGTTAAATGCAGAGTTATTACAGTGCTGAACTCTTTGAGATGATCAAATCCCAAGAGCCTTGATTAAAGTAATTAAGTTGAATCACAGCTGGATATTATGAATATAATATAATGCATGTATTAAAACCAGTTTAATACTGATACATAGTAATGCTAATAAGACACAGGAAAATATTCATACTAGGCTCCTTTAATATTCATGCAAGATAATACTGATACAAAATAGAAAATTAACTTTAACTCCTGAAATCCAATCCTAATATCCTGTGTGTTCTTTTATGAAGAATAGTCGAAGTCAAATCTGTCTTTGAGGTATTTATTACAATATTCAAGAAAAGCAATACAGAGCTCTGGGTTCTGTCTATCTGAAGCCCTACCAAGCAACAAAGCATGGCTTAGTCTTTCTTCACGAAAGAGGAAACCCTAGTTTCGTGAACTCCATCTTTTTATACAATTTTGAATGTGGAAAGTAGGTTGATCTGACTTCATCTGTGTTGCTTCGTTTCCTCGTTCCTGGTTTGGTTCATTCAGCTCGTTCTGACTCCTCATTGGTGTTCAACCTCTTCCTGAAACAGACACTTTGCACAACCACAGCACTTTTGCAGACAGTTAGTCATCTCAGCAATCATAAGACTGCACCCGCACTTGGTTTCCTGTTTCCTATGTCTGCTTGCTTTCCTGTTGATCTGAGTCTCTGTACTTTGAAACACGCACACAAGCATTTTAAGGGCATAGGTTAAGCGATTATAAAAGTCAGACTGATTAAACAATCTTTAAAGCAGTTTAGCAAATATCTGACATGACACTATATAATTCTGCCAAGAATTTTTTTCTACATTACCTCTGCCAGGAGATTGTAATCACCAACATTTGTTTTTGTCCATATTTTATCTATATATCTTAAAGGTTTGGACAGATGGATAATGTTGAAGAAACAACTGATTACATATTAAAAGCGACTCAGATGAAGAAGAAACTCTGACTCAATCCATGGCAGAGATTTATTTAAAAGTAATATTAAGGCAGAGATGCTCTCTGTGCAGTGGGGAGTGAAACGTGTCATATGTTTTGATGCTGGAAAGCACTGGCTGAGTTATCATTTCTGTAGACAATGTTAGGGCACATGGCCTCCCTTAGTGATTTACCGAGCTACATATAAAAACATGCCATTCTTTTGGACCACCCCTCCAAATTGCTATTTTTTAATGCTATTAATTTCAACATCTTACTTCATAATTTAGCAGCCAAGTTAATCTGAAAAAACATATAACGACTTGTACATTGGTGAAACTAAGCAGCCGCTTCACAAACGCATGCCCCAACACAGGAGGGCCAAC